TACTGATATACACCTGAACATCAGCAGGAGAGGACTCTTTAAAGTAGAGACACTACATACTAATATACACCTGAACATCAGCAGGAGAGGACTCTTTAAAGTAGAGACACTACAAACTGATATACACCTGAACATCAGCAGGAGAGGACTCTTTAAAGTAGAGACACTACATACTGATATACACCTGAACATCAGCAGGAGAGGACTCTTTAAAGTAGAGACACTACATACTGATATACACCTGAACATCAGCAGGAGAGGACTCTTTAAAGTAGAGACACTACATACTGATATACACCTGAACATCAGCAGGAGAGGACTCTTTAAAGTAGAGACACTACATACTGATATACACCTGAACATCAGCAGGAGAGGACTCTTTAAAGTAGAGACACTACATACTGATATACACCTGAACATCAGCAGGAGAGGACTCTTTAAAGTAGAGACACTACATACTGATATACACCTGAACATCAGCAGGAGAGGACTCTTTAAAGTAGAGACACTACATACTGATATACACCTGAACATCAGCAGGAGAGGACTCTTTAAAGTAGAGACACTACAAACTGATATACACCTGAACATCAGCAGGAGAGGACTCTTTAAAGTAGAGACACTACATACTGATATACACCTGAACATCAGCAGGAGAGGACTCTTTAAAGTAGAGACACTACATACTGATATACACCTGAACATCAGCAGGAGAGGACTCTTTAAAGTAGAGACACTACATACTGATATACACCTGAACATCAGCAGGAGAGAACTCTTTAAAGTAGAGACACTACATACTGATATACACCTGAACATCAGCAGGAGAGGACTCTTTAAAGTAGAGACACTACATCCTGATATACACCTGAACATCAGCAGGAGAGGACTCTTTAAAGTAGAGACACTACATACTGATATACACCTGAACATCAGCAGGAGAGGACTCTTTAAAGTAGAGACACGACATACTGATATACACCTGAACATCAGCAGGAGAGGACTGTTTAAAGTAGAGACACTACATACTGATATACACCTGAACATCAGCAGGAGAGGACTCTTTAAAGTAGAGACACTACATACTGATATACACCTGAACATCAGCAGGAGAGGACTCTTTAAAGTAGAGACACTACATACTGATATACACCTGAACATCAGCAGGAGAGGACTCTTTAAAGTAGAGACACTACATACTGATATACACCTGAACATCAGCAGGAGAGGACTCTTTAAAGTAGAGACACTACAAACTGATATACACCTGAACATCAGCAGGAGAGGACTCTTTAAAGTAGAGACACTACATACTGATATACACCTGAACATCAGCAGGAGAGGACTCTTTAAAGTAGAGACACTACATACTGATATACACCTGAACATCAGCAGGAGAGGACTCTTTAAAGTAGAGACACTACATACTGATATACACCTGAACATCAGCAGGAGAGAACTCTTTAAAGTAGAGACACTACATACTGATATACACCTGAACATCAGCAGGAGAGGACTCTTTAAAGTAGAGACACTACATCCTGATATACACCTGAACATCAGCAGGAGAGGACTCTTTAAAGTAGAGACACTACATACTGATATACACCTGAACATCAGCAGGAGAGGACTCTTTAAAGTAGAGACACGACATACTGATATACACCTGAACATCAGCAGGAGAGGACTGTTTAAAGTAGAGACACTACATACTGATATACACCTGAACATCAGCAGGAGAGGACTCTTTAAAGTAGAGACACTACATACTGATATACACCTGAACATCAGCAGGAGAGGACTCTTTAAAGTAGAGACACTACATCCTGATATACACCTGAACATCAGCAGGAGAGGACTCTTTAAAGTAGAGACACTACAGACTGATATACACCTGAACATCAGCAGGAGAGGACTCTTTAAAGTAGAGACACTACATAATGATATACACCTGAACATCAACAGGAGAGGACTCTTTAAAGTAGAGACACTACAAACTGATATACACCTGAACATCAGCAGGAGAGGACTCTTTCAAGTAGAGACACGACATACTGATATACACCTGAACATCAGCAGGAGAGGACTCTTTAAAGTAAAGACACTACTGATATACACCTGAACATCAGCAGGAGAGGACTCTTTAAAGTAGAGACACGACATACTGATATACACCTGACCATCAGCGGGAGAGGACTCTTTAAAGCAGAGACACTACATACTGATATACATCTGAACATCAGCAGGAGAGGACTCTTTAAAGCAGAGACACTACATACTGATATACATCTGAACATCAGCAGGAGAGGACTCTTTAAAGTAGAGACACTACATACTGATATACACCTGAACATCAGCAGGAGAGGACTCTTTAAAGCAGAGACACTACATACTGATATACACCTGAACATCAGCAGGAGAGGACTCTTTAAAGTAGAGACACTACATACTGAATATAATTTCTCAATTTTCTTACATGTTCAGGATATTCTTTTATATTTTTTACAATATTTATTGAATATTCTTTACAGTATTTATTTCATATATTTTTTCACATCATCCACACCTCTTTAGTAAATCTTTGGAATATTTTCCACCTGATTTTCCGACCTAGTTTGCTGCTGATGAGGCGTTCAGGTGTCAGGGGAATCCTCGGGAGAATATCGACCCGTCAGATAGAGTTTCCTCCCGATTGATATCGAGCTTCACAACAAACACTTAGGACACGCTACTCCACATTAAAATGCAGTTTCCATTATCTGAATATTATTGTTAACCTGCACTGACATTTACATGAGGATTTAAGGATGAAGAGAAGAAATGTGTGAAATATTAAATAACCCGACATTATATAATAGCTTCTTAAATATAATCCATACGTTTGTAAAGGGTTTAAACACCGTCTGTTTCCTCGAGCTGATAAAAATAATTCATTTAAGCATTAAAATCAATTAAAACTAAACAAGGAACATTTCAATTTTCCCAATTTATGAGTTATTGACTTTTAAATGTATTAAATCAATTAAAAAATGTATAATAACAATTGTAAAGAAAAACTTGAAAAACAACAAACAGGTCCAAATGTGTAAACAATAAGTCAAAGTAGGATAAATATGTTTTAAATAACTAAATAATAATATGTTTGTGTCGTGTCTTCCTCCTAAACTCACCAACAGTTAGCATTAGCCTCATTAGCACATTTAATCATAACAAAGACGCGTGTGATGAAGTGTGTCAGTGATTTTCCTGCAGTGTGTTGATAAATGAACATCAGCTGGTGTGTGTTTGATCCACGTCGTGATATATTTATTTATTTTGTGTCTGTGTTAAACTCTGATTGGACTTATTGCAGCGGGTAATGGCGTGCTGAGCTCCCATGAGGCTCGGCGGTTTCCGGTAAAGTGGCGTCCTGATGCTGCTGAAAGCTAATGGAGCAGCAGAAGCTAATTTATGACAGCATTAACACAGGGGGGGGGGGGGGGGGGGCTGTCAGACAGCATTAGAGACAGGAAGCTGCTGGGGAACATGAACCTCCAGCACTGTGAGGGAACTCAGGATAGTTCCTTTATTCACAGCAGCAAAGATACAGAGCAGATCAAAGCAGGAAGACATATTACACATTCAAGATAAGATACGATTTAATGATCTAAGCATGTTTTGACAAGGCTTTGCACACAATGTGAAACAAAGATTGAGTAGTTTAAAGTAGAAACACTTCATACTGATATACACCTGAACATCAGCAGGAGAGGACTCTTTAAAGTAGAAACACTTCATACTGATATACACCTGAACATCAGCAGGAGAGGACTCTTTAAAGTAGAGACACTACATACTGATATACACCTGAACATCAGCAGGAGAGGACTCTTTAAAGTAGAGACACTTAATACTGATATACACCTGAACATCAGCAGGAGAGGACTCTTTAAAGTAGAGACACTACAGACTGATATGCACCTGAACATCAGCAGGAGAGGACTTTTTAAAGTAGAGACACTACATACTGATATACACCTGAACATCAGCAGGAGAGGACTCTTTAAAGTAGAGACACTACATACTGATATACACCTGAACATCAGCAGAAGAGGACTCTTTAAAGTAGAGACACTACATACTGATATACACCTGAACATCAGCAGGAGAGGACTCTTTAAAGTAGAGACACTACATACTGATATACACCTGAACATCAGCAGGAGAGGACTCTTTAAAGTAGAGACACTACATACTGATATACACCTGAACATCAGCAGGAGAGGACTCTTTAAAGTAGAGACACTACATACTGATATACACCTGAACATCAGCAGGAGAGGACTCTTTAAAGTAGAGACACTACATACTGATATACACCTGAACATCAGCAGGAGAGGACTTTTTAAAGTAGAGACACTACATACTGATATACACCTGAACATCAGCAGGAGAGGACTCTTTAAAGTAGAAACACTACATACTGATATACACCTGAACATCAGCAGGAGAGGACTCTTTAAAGTAGAGACACTACATACTGATATACACCTGAACATCAGCAGGAGAGGACTCTTTAAAGTAGAGACACTACATACTGATATACACCTGAACATCAGCAGGAGAGGACTCTTTAAAGTAGAAACACTACATACTGATATGAACATCATGAGCAGAATAGGGGCCCTTTAAAATCAGATACAATAGCTTTTACAGGCCGCAGAACAATATAATTACAACAACAGCAATACAAATAAAGTATTTATGTTCACAGAACAAAGTAAACAAATAAACATTTGAATAATGAAGCAATAAAATAAACCTCTAAATATGCAGTCTATTGGTCGAACAGCTCCACTGGACTCAGTTATACAATACTTCTATATGTATATTATACATATCTTTCTTTTTTTTTACCGTGGTGTACTTATTTGTTTTGATTTTTATTAACATTTCATCTGCACTGTGTCTGCGGGCCAGATAAAGGATTTCATTGACCTGCTTCTCTGTCTGTGTTTCAGAGTGTTTAAGAAGGCCAGTCCCAATGGAAAGGTGAGTCCTTGTCTATTCTTTTACACCTGCTCGTCCCCTGATGAGAAATCTAAACACAAAGTCCTAGAAAAGCACAAGAACAACAAAAAAACAGTAACTTACGAAAAAGTAAAAGAAAAACAAGTAAACAAAAGCAGTCACTGGAGCAGAAAGGGTTTGATCCTTTTTAGCAGCGCTCTGTAGAAATCAGTTTTAAAAATATCTATGAACGACGGTTGATTCTGATTGGCTGTTCTGATTGGCTGTTGGATTTTCTGAAAGTTTCTGATTGGCTGTTGGAAGTTCTGATGTTGACTCGATTTGCTCTTAGATGTCATGACAGTTAATTCTGAGTAGTTGTTAGGTCCTGATGGTGGATTCTGATTGGCTGTTGATTTTGTCATGGTTGATTCTGATTGGTCGCTGTGTTCCCCCCTCAGCTCACAGTCTATCTGGGGAAGAGAGACTTTGTGGACCAGGTGGATCTGGTGGAGCCTGTCGGTGAGATTCTTTAAATAAGTTAGAAAGCATTTATTCAATTAATTTACATTATTTTATGTTGTTGAAACTCGTCCATCCTTTGGCTGCTTGTTGACTTTCTGACTTCCTGCAGACGGCGTCATCCTGATCGACCCGGAGTACCTGAAGGAGAGGAAAGGTGAAACCTAGCTTTAGATTAGATTAGACTGACTTTACTGTCCACCTCAGTGAATGTGTCTTTTGCTTAAGTACAGCAAAGCTACATAAGTAAGGGTAATGATCCTGCTCATTACACGGCTACTAAATAAACCAACAACTTGATTGACAGTACTGATTTAAAAAGGATTATATTGACGTCAAAAATATGGTATTGCTTCCACTAAGAAACTGAGTCACTGCCACCCCCAAACATAAATAACACAACATAAGATAATATCAATAGACAATATACAACAGTCCAAGCGGGTAAGTAACAGCAGACATTTAAATATCTTGTTTACTGAACTTTTAATCCTATTTTCGTCCATCTTTAATACGTTGTGGTGTTCCTCAGGGAAGCGTCCTTGGGCCTCTGCTCTTTATAGTAAACAGTGTAATATGAGTATCTGATTTTTCTTGTTTTTTCTTCCCGTCAGTGTTCGTGACTCTGACCTGTGCGTTCCGGTACGGTCGGGAGGACCTGGACGTCCTTGGGTTGACGTTTCGGAAAGACCTGTTTGTGGCAAACATCCAGGCGTTTCCTCCCGTGCCCGAAGAGAAGAAGAGTCTGACTCGTCTTCAAGAACGCCTGATCAAAAAACTGGGAGAACACGCACACCCGTTCACCTTCGAGGTACTCTATGAAACCATACTGTCAGGCCTCTCAGAATAAAAACTCAGCTTCAGGTTAGAAAGAACAAAAACAGGTAATATTTTGGAAAACTTGGTGCAAAACAACCACAAAATGACCAAGTCGCAAAAAGTCTAAGTCATCAAATGACCACATGGAAACATAAAATGTGTAAAAATAGATGCAAAACAAACAAACAAAAATGTCTAAATGTTGGACATCGTATAAAATTACCTTTAAGTGCAAAACTACAGAAAATGGTTCTCACATTACCAAATGGAATCATAGATGTGTAAATACAATGCAAAATCACCACAAAAAAAAAGGTGAACATTTGGTGAAAAACAACTACAAAATGACCATTAGGTGCTCAACTTTTAAAAAGAGTTGTCAAATAACCAAAAAATAAATGTGGTTGTGTAAAGATTAAAAAAAATGGGTGCAAAATAATCACAAAATGACCGAACGTTGCAGAAAGACTAAAAAAGACGTAACCAGATCGCTAACCCCTTGATTCCACCGGGTCCGTCTGCGCCGCGTCACGGCTGCACCGCGGTTTTGGTCCGGCCTCCTCCGGCGTCATACCCTACTGGGCGCGTTTCAGGAGTGTTTCAGAAGCATTTCAGAAGCGGAGCGTCTTGCGTGCCGGCTCGCAGTTTTTGTTGATTTGGGCATATTTCCTGGACAGGCTACTTTGTACAGACAAAGTTAATAATAACTGTAATATTCCAGTTATAAACGACATGAATCAAAGATGTGTTGCTGTATTTTAGTGGTAAAAAAATGCATTCATCATCATAATTATTCTATATATATAATTTACACAGTGCCTGTAAACCGGAGGAGAACGCTGGCATTTCTCCTCCTACTTGAAAGACTACGGAGGGATAGGGTCTGCAAAATTAGTTTATTTTGGGGATTGACTGGATGCTCTGACCGGTCCACTTCCTGCCCGGCGCTATGCAACGCATCGTGTTGCGTCGAAAATAGACTTGCATCCTATTTTTAGTGGAGCCCAGCGCCGAGACGCTTCTGGGACGCTTCTGGGACGCTTCTGGGACGCTTCTAGCCGTAACGCGGCGCATCTGGTGGAATAGCACCCATTGACTAGAGTGGCCGCGATCGCTGTGAACGCCGCAGCGCGGCCGTAATGCGGCCGTAACGCGGCTGTAACGCGGTGCAGACGGACCCCGTGGAATCTAGGGGTGAGATAAGATAAGAAGATAAGAAGTACTTTATTGATCCCAATTTGGGAAATTGTTGTGTTGCAGCAGCATAAAAAGACATGGCATTGTACATTAGAGAAATGAAAAGACTAGAAATAAACATTACAAAAAGTAAACATCTGAAAAATTGAAATAAAATAGCATTAAAAAAGTAGAAAATATACATGTTGAATTACAAATGTACAGTAACAAAATATAAAGCAGGATATTATATATAAGTGTGTAAATAATGGAATATCAAATATTAAATTGAATATAAATGTAAAATGTACAGAGAGAGTTTAAGCAGAGAGTTCTCTTCCAGAGGAGATTTGTTATAGAGAGTTATTGCAGTAGGCAGGAGTGTTTTCCTGTATCGGTCCTTGTGACAATGTGTAAATAACGTTATGATTATTTGTCCCTGACTGCAGATCCCTCTGAACCTGCCGTGCTCCGTCACCCTGCAGCCGGGCCCCGAGGACACGGGGAAGGTAAAACGAGACGCAAAAACCACCAGAATAAAAATGCAACATGTGGAAAACAACCTGCAAAATAACCAGAAATAGTTGGTAACGATGCGTTCACTGCTTCAGCACTGAATCAGACTCCTGAAATTAAATCAGCGCTAAACGTCCTCTGCTGTGTTTCCAGGCCTGCGGCGTGGACTTCGAGGTGAAGTCTTTCTGTGCAGAGAACGTTGAGGAGAAGATCCACAAGAGGTAAAAGTGAGGCGCAATAAAGAGATGAATTATGGATGAAAGTGAAACCCGGCGTGCATTAGCAGGTCGGACAGGAACGCAGAGTGGTTCAGTAATAATGAATCCAATGGGATTCTCTGTGGGGTTCTGGATTAATGCAGAAAATAATCCCAAACGTTGATGAGACTCACACGTTTAGTTCAGCAGGATAATCTCCACATATTAACACCACTTTATGATTTCTGAAGTAATCAGCTAACGTTGATGTTGTGTTGTTTTCTCGTTGTTGTTGTTGTTGTTTGTGCAGGAACTCTGTGCGTCTGGTGATCAGGAAGGTTCAGTTTGCTCCGGAGAAGCCGGGCCCTCAGCCGACCGCAGAGACGACCCGACAGTTCCTGATGTCGGACAAACCGCTGCACCTGGAGGCGTCCCTGGACAAAGAGGTGTGTGTGTGTTTGTGTGTGTGTGTGTGTGTGTGTGTGTGTGTGTGTGTGTGTGTGTGTGTGTGTGTGTGTGTGCGTGTGTGTGTGTGTGTGTGTGTGTGTGTGTGTGTGTGTGTGTGTGTGTGTGTGTGTGTGTGTGTGTGTGTGTGTGTGTGTGTGTGTGTGTGTGTGTGTGTGTGTGTGTGTGTGTGTGTTATAACACATGTGTGTGTGTGTGTTATAACACATTCATATAGACAGGAGCTACAGCTGTAACGCAGGGAGTTTATTAAAGTAGAACATGGAAATGCTCTAGTAAAGTACTACCAGTAAATGTGTTCTCAAGTACTTGAACATAAGAACACGTACTCTCCACTATCGACCAGATCAAGAACAGAAATATCGATTTCACAATAATTCAGATTATGAAAAATATTATTGCAAATATGCCATTATTTCATATGAATTATTACAGATATCATAAACCATAATCACAAGAATAACATATATCTATAATAATATTTAAAATGAATAACAATAATAATAACAATAATAATAATATATATCATTTATATACTTATATAATAGATCTAATAATCTTTCTCTCTCAGATTTATTACCACGGAGAGCCGATCAGCGTCAACGTCCACGTCACCAACAACACCAACAAGACGGTGAAGAAGATGAAGATCTCAGGTCCCTGAACGCACCACTCTCTGTTTGTCCCTTTGTGTTAGTGACCAGTGGTGGAAATTAACTAAGTACATTTAAGTACTGTACTTGGGTACAATTTTGAGGTACTTGTACTTTACTTGAGTATTTCCATTTTATGATACTGTGTACTTCTACTCCACTGAAATTCAGAGGTAAATTATGTACTTTAATTCTTAAATCAGCCTTTAGTTCCACCTGGAGTAAATCCACAAACCCTGCAGTATACAAAGTCATTCAAACTAGCTGCACCTTTACCAGCTTTGAGAACACTTTCATGATCAATCATTATAAAACATATCATATATATTATTCTGAAATGGACCAATCTGCACAATGACTACTTTTACTGTCGCTACTTTCACTATATTTTGATGAGAATACTTTTCTACTTTTACTTGAGGAACATTTTGAATGCAGGACTTTTACTGTAACAGAGTATTCCTACACTCTGGTACTTCTACTTTTACTCAAGTACAAGATCTGAGTACTTCTACTTTTACTCAAGAACAAGATCTGAGTACTTCTACTTTTACTCAAGCACAAGATCTGAGTACTTCTACTTTGACTAGACCTGAGTACTTCTACTTTTACTCAAGTACAAGATCTGAGTACTTCTACCACCTCTGTTAGTGACGGATGTTTTGTGTGTCTGCAGTGCGACAGTACGCAGATATCTGCCTCTTCAACACGGCGCAGTACAAATGTCCGGTGGCCACCGAGGAGTCAGAGTCAGTTTCATTTATTTGTCTTTTCTTTATAATTTATCTGGAGCCTTCTGCTGTCTATGTATGATAAAACGTAATATGAGGAATTTATTTAAATCATCTGCAAACAAACAAACCTAATCATTTAAGATATTTTTTATCTGTGATTTTGTAAGGTAACACGTGACTTTTATGTTAGTGTGTGATTATAACGCTCATTTGTAATTTTACACGTTATTCTTTGACGTTAATCAGTCATTTTGATTATTAATCTGTGACTTCGAACTTTAATCAGTAACTTTGTGCATTAATCAGTAACTTTGTGCGTTAAGCAGTAACTTTGTACATTAATCAGTAACTTTGTACGTTAATCAGTAACTTTGTGCATTAATCAGTAACTTTGTGCGTTAATCAGTAACTTTGTACATTAATCAGTAACTTTGTGCGTTAATCTGGTGATTTTTATGCTAATCTCTGCTTTTCCGTTTTCAGTGACTTTGTACCGTATTCTCAGTTTTTAAGTTTTTAAATATTTAATATAAACAAACATACCTTTGACATGTTAAACACGATGCTATAATGTTAATTTCGTAATTTTGTATATTTTAAAGTCAAAAGGATATATCTTTAATGTTATTTTATATTTCTCTGTCCTCAGCGATCTCGTTGCTCCCAGTTCGACGTTCTGCAAAGTTTTCACCCTAACTCCGTTTCTGGCCAGCAACCGGGAGAAGCGAGGCCTGGCTCTGGACGGGAAGCTGAAGCACGAGGACACCAACCTGGCCTCCAGCACACTGTGAGTCAAAACATGATGCCTTCATGGCCCATGGGACAGGGGAAGACTCTTTAATCAGCTGATTCACAAAATCCTGCAACTGAGTCTGAAGGTATTGTATTGTAAAAAGTGTATATAGTTACAAGAGTAATAATAGAGCGGTGCAGTGATGACGTATTTCTGTAGTTCGACCCTGAAGGAAGCTGCTGGTTCCCTCGACAAAAAAACTACGGGATTTCTCCAGGATTTTGGAATATTTAAAAAATAAGATCTATGGAAAACGAACCTGTTAGATAAATGCAAGTTTTGTTCAGCCGGATAATCTCCACACGTCTACTTTTATAATGTTCGAATCATAAATCTAATGGCCGGAAGCAAAATGCTAACGTTATGCTATAAAGGAGCTACAGGCGAGTACAGCAGCACGACTTCAACGTCACGCCAACTTCAGATCCATATTCAAACATACAGATTCTAAATGGTACGAGTTGAAGCGTTTGTTTTAACAGTTTGCAGGAGGCAGGTACTTGCTTTAAGAACAGGGTGTTTACGTGTTCGGCGTAATGACGTACAACGTCCTCCACGACTTCTATAGTCCTATTCAGCCACTTGGTAACAACCATCGTTTTTCAGACACGGCAACTCTTCAGAAATCCCCAGTGGGGTCACTGCTGATGGATTTAATGTCCTAGAACAAAACGTGATCCGTCTCTTGACTTTGCTTTCCAAAATCCCGTTGACTCTGAGACGAGGGAACAGGAAGTGGTAAAATGCTGACTCACTTCCGGGTTTTAGGACTCATTCCTGAACCACTCTATTACGGAAGAGGATAAAGGCCACATGTGAATTTTTTAGATCCAAACAAAAGTGAAAGAAAAAAACGTTACTATACTGACATGTGACTGGCTTCTTATTGGTCCATTTGAATGTGTTTGTGCTCAGGTTGAGAGAAGGAGCCAATAAGGAGATCCTCGGCATCATCGTGTCGTACAAAGTCAAAGTGAAGCTGGTCGTGTCTCGAGGCGGGTGAGTGATTTTAACTCATTAACTGAAATGATCAGAGGAGACGAGATCGCAGATACAAAAACACAAAGGGGCTAAAACACATGTAGAAACATCTTCAGCAACTTGAGGAAACATGCAGCATTTAGAAAACAACTTGTTGTAGCACCGTGGGATCACCAGTTTCTGTTCCTAACTCTTGAGATGATAAAAAGTCAAGAGGGGGTCAAAGCTGTTTTCTGAATCGTATACAACCCCCTTGTTTTCTTACTTGTTGAGCTGGTTTACATTTCAGTTATTTAAAGCTCCAAGACCAATAACCAATAGTTTGGTGATTGAACTGAAAAAAAATATCCGCCATCTATGGCTTTTTATCTACATGTCAGTCCATTTGGTCCTGTACCGAGATGGCCGTTATTGGCACATCATCAGAAATGAGATGAAACTAAAGCGTTAATGTTGTTTTATTTCAGGCTCCTGGGAGATCTGGCAGCGAGGTAACCTTTCTCATTCTGTCACTGAGATTTACAGAGGGCAGGGGTAATAGTCCAAGTAACAGATGTGCGTAATAAAGCCACTGAGGGTTATGGGTGTTTTTATGGCGGTGCTTCTGATGATTTGTGTTTCAGTGACGTCTCTGTGGAGCTGCCGTTCACGTTAATGCACCCGAAGCCGCTAGAGGAGTCGTTCTACAGAGACGGTGAGTTCACTGCACGCTCGTCAATAATGACTCTGCAGGACATTTAATGTGACATTTCCCAGTGTTTACAGCAGAGCCATTACTGTGAACCTGATGCATGGCTTTAATGCATACTGCATGGCATTTTGTAAACGGTGTCAGTTTTTATTTGTTGATGCAGTTCAGCTGCGATAATAAGATAATAAGTGTGCATCAAATACACAGACAGTGAACATTTCCCAATTACACAATTGTATACATTTGATTAATAAATAGTACTTTAATAATGCATTGAACTTATATAGTGCTTGTCAAAGGTGTGACTGCAGTTACATTTGACTTTATTTTTGCAGTGTATTCTTAGTACTTTGACTGCAGTGAGATAAATATGACATTATTATTTTTATGTGTCTGTTTTTATGGCTGGTTTGACACTTCCTGAACACAGTGACATCACTATGGAACTCATCAGCAGGAGAGGACTCTTTAAAGTAGAGACATTACATACTGATATACACCTGAACATCAGCAGGAGAGGACTCTTTAAAGTAGAGACACTACATACTGATATACACCTGAACATCAGCAGGAGAGGACTCTTTAAAGTAGAGACACTACATACTGATATACACCTGAACATCAGCAGGAGAGGACTCTTTAAAGTAGAGACACTACATACTGATATACACCTGAACATCAGCAGGAGAGGACTCTTTAAAGTAGAGACACTACATACTGATATACACCTGAACATCAGCAGGAGAGGACTCTTTAAAGTAGAGACACTACATACTGATATACACCTGAACATCAGCAGGAGAGGACTCTTTAAAGTAGAGACACTACATACTGATATACACCTGAACATCAGCAGGAGAGGACTCTTTAAAGAATATGTGTTTCTGTAAAGGTTTTCTCTCTCCTCTCTGCAGCTCCAGATGAAGCTCCAATCGACACAAACCTGATCCAGTTCGACACAAAGTGAGCTTCCTGTCTGTCTGTCTGTCTGTCTGTCTGTCTCTCTCTGTCTGTCTGTCTGTCTGTCTGTCTGTCTGTCTGTCTGTCTGTCTGTCTCTCTCTGTCTGTCTGTCTGTCTGTCTCTCTATCTGTTTTACAGCAGTACCATATGTACAATTGATTTAATGTGTCAGCACTAAAAGAGGAAAGCTAAAATTGTTATATTATCAAAGTGTTCTCTAAAGGTTCATATGGGGAGACTCAGTTTTGATGAGATGATGATCTTGGGTATGGCGAAGGATTTTTCCGAATTTTCAAGCAGGTCTCGGGGTATTTAATCAAAGTGGTCCATTTAAAAGAATACAACTCACAGATTAACACAGAGCAACTCAAAGTCTCTTAAATTGAACATACAAACCTAAAGTAAGGTACAAATGTATCGTACAAGTTTAACGTGTACACATTTAAAGAACACATTTATCCTAAAAGTTTAACGTGTACACATTTAAAGAACACATTTATCCTAAAAGTTTAACGTGTACACATTTAAAGAACAAATTTATCCTAAAAGTTTAACGTGTACACATTTAAAGTACAAATGTATCGTACAAGTTTAACGTACAAATGTTATGTACAAACTGAACGCACACATTTGATGAGTCTTGATGTTTCTTTGCTTGTTTTCTTATAAACTCACTCACTCCCCCCTTCCCCCCTTCCTCTCCTATAGCGACGATGACATCATCTTCGAAGACTTCGCCCGCCAGCGACTGACCGCCGGAGCTAATGACGACGAAGACGAGGAGCCTGTGGATTCGCCAAAACTGGACGACAGATAGAGCTGCTGTTGTTGTTGTTGTTGTTTGGCTGCTGTTTGTAGAGTCCGGAAAACCGTCCGGAAACCCTTTAAACACGATCCCGTCCCGACGTCGTGTTTTCAGACGGAGCAGCTCGGCCGGCCGGGACTCGAACCGGCGGCCGCGGCGTCGTCGTCACGGCGGCCGGTAGCATGCCTCTAATGTCACTTTGTTCTACGTGTTTCCATTAGGGAGCCGCAGGAGTAACGTTGTGTTGAGATTAGTTTCGATGTGTTGTATCAGACGGTCCTCATAGACACTGCCAGTGTTTCCCCACCGAGGAACACCTGAAGAAGAAGAAGCTTCCCAACGAAACACAACCGAAACTGTCCGAGAGGGAAGTGTGGCCTCGTTTGCATGAAATCCATACTTATTATTATTATTTATTAATATCATGAATAATCAACCTTTATAGAGGAAAGCCCTGAAACAAACAGATCATTCACCTGCGTCATTATGAACATACATCTGAGTCTTTCATCTACCTCTCACATTCACAAGAGAGAACATTTTGATATTTCCCTGATATGCACAATAACAACTACGATGGCCGACGTGCTACAACGGCCCAAACATTTCCATCAGGAGAAACGTGCTGCAGCTTCAGAAAGGATGCAGATATAAAAACCCAAATGTTCCACACAAAGAAACATTGTGTTTTGTTTGAGCTTCTTGCAGCGTTTGGTTTCTGCAGCTCTTGGTAAACGCTGCGCATGTCTCCTCAAGTTGTTATCAAGTCGCTGAAGATGTTTCTTCATGTGGAACATTTGGGTTTCTATATCTGCATCCTTTCTGAAGCTGCAGCGTGTTTCTCCTGATGGAAGAGATTTGGGCACGTTTGCAACTGTCGGCCTCTGTAGCAACTTGAAAATGAAGAACAATTATTTTTGCTGAGATTTAAGTTATTAATTTACAACAAAAAAAGTGCGGAGAAAAATGTTCTCTCTTTAACTAATCAACCACAGGATAAAGATTAAGATTACAAAATAAAACATCCTCATTGTTTCTCACATTATTTGAATTGGCTTTATTTTTGAAAGGGCCTGGAGAAAACCTATATATTCCTAAATAAAAAGGATGTTTTTTTGGCATTCTGACCTTTTTCTGAAGCATCAACAAATTGTATTTCTGAAAAAATCAGAACATTTTACACTGTAGAGGAAATGTCCATAAGCACGACTTCAAACACACCTTCTGTACCTTCAGATGTAAATGATCCAATTAAAATGAATGCTGTATTTATCTTTTTATAGTCTGATCCTTGTTTCTACAGCCCGGAGTTCATATGTAACATTTCTGCATTAAAATGTGTAAAAATAACCAACCACAAGTTTTATTTCCAGGTCTAATCTGGACTTTTCTTGAATCCCAAATGTTAAATACCCATTTTTTTCCACTGAAAACCAGTTCGGTTGTAGCTCCATGCTGGTTCTCTGGGTGCGTTCTAGTCAAGTCTTTACTGGAAACAACTTTATTCCCATCACCGTGAACTGGTATTGCTCGGGTTAATCTCCGACGCAACCCTCTGACATATTCGGTTCTTGGTTCTTGTCCAGCAGTTTTCTGGTTCCTAATGTGAACCAGTTTTCCGAAAGATCTGGTTTGCAATTGGGACTAATTTGGAACTGATTTGGGGGAAACCGGGTATCAGAATGTAGCTCCTTACCTCCTCACGTACATCCGTCAAAAGTTTTGATTTAGTTTTTGATATTGTAGGTCTAAAAATGTCTGGAATACCATAAAGCCTGAACACTTTTTTAAATATCTTTGATTGTACAAACATTGGTATAGATGTAATAGATCTGCAGATTAGTTTTGAGGACCGAAGAATTTTTGTTTTTGTTTTGAGAAACTCGTGCCAACACACCATTTTAAACTGATTTTTTTTTGTGTTGAAGGACCATCAAAAGGTTAACAATAATGAACATTTCCATTTTTATCAATTTAAAAAGAAATGCCGCTGCTTATTCAACGAGTCCCAACGTTTAATATCCAGAAGTAAAAAGCAAGCACACAGCAAACATGAAAGTTCAGACCTACATTAGCTGTTAAAGAGTCCTGCAGGGAGGTGGTGTTTCTGTGTTGGTCCCTGAAGGCAGCATCTCTCTGGTCCAATGGGATTCCTCCATGTGATTTTGGATTATTGCGGAAAATATACTCAACGTTTCTGATGATTACACGTTTAGTTCAGCAGGATAATCTCCACAAATTAGCACCACTTGATTTCTGAAGGTGTCGTACAGTAACATCTCTTCAGCTTGTGTTAACCACCTTATTTCTAAAACCAAAAACACATTCAGAAAACCATTGAGCTCATTCCCAAAGTTTACTCAGCGGTCCATCAGAAGTTTACTTTGATGTCAATAATATAAATAATAATAATTTAAATATATAGCTCCTTTCAAGGAACCCAAGGTCACTTTACAGGAAAACAAGGACAAAAAACAAAAATAAACAGTGAGACAAGCAGTCAGACAGACAACAACAAATAAACTAGGGGCCGAACGTTTTTCCGTTCACAGCAGGAGACACCTTCATTGACCTCATTCCCTAAATGTACTCATCTTCATTTATCCAGTCAAACCAACACGGCTGTCCATCAGAAGTTTACTTTGATGTCAAGTTTTACCTTTCCCAGCAGGAGACACCTTCACCTTCATCGACTTGAGTTTCTTTGCTCTGACTTTAAAGATCTTCAGGAATCCGTTCCTGATCTCCTTGGTGCGGACTCCATAGATGATGGGGTTGACGGTGGCCGGCAGCAGGATGTACATCAGACCCATGAAGGTTTGAGCGTCGGGGGGGATGTTGATGCTGGGCGACAGGAAGGAGACGCTGCCCACCAGGTAGAAGCAGGTCATCACCATCAGGTGCGTCCCGCAGGTGTGGAACGCCTTCCAGCGGTCCTCTCCGGACGCCGACGCCCGCAGGACAACGCTCAGGATCTTCACGTAGGAGAAGAAGATAACTGGGGTGTCGACACCGACGAAACAGATGATAACGGCGAGTCCGGCCGCTCGATTTCTCTCTGTGTCGCCGCACGCTAAGCTAACCAGCGCCATGTGGTCGCAGTAACAGTGGCGGATTGTGTTGGAGTCGCAGAACCACAGAGATCCCGCCAAACCAACCAAAGTCCCCATTACTGAGCCGCTGCGAAACAACGTGAACAGAAGCAGCTTGGCGAACACCGAGGCGTTCATGATCTTATTGTAGCGTAGCGGCAAGCAAATGGCCACGTAGCGATCCAGCGCCATGGCTAGAAGAAGCGTGGACTCCAGCGACGACAGGAAGTGGGTGAAGAACATCTGTGTGAGGCAGCCAGTCAGAGAGATCCGGTCCCAGTTGAACAGAAGGCTGAGTAATGTGGTGGGGAAGATGGTTGTTGCCACCAGGATGTCCACGGCACACAGCGAGGCGATCAGAAGGTACATGGGGCTGTGGAGAGACGCCAAGCTGCCGATCACCAGCAGCAAAGCACAGTTTCCAAGGAGCAAAGTTACGTAGCAGCCGATCAGGAGAACCAGAACCAGCAGCCGTTGGTGGTTCTGAAGCGCCGGGAAGCCTCCGAACAGGAAGCTGCTGTGGGACGAGTTCCCGCCCGGCGACGCCTCCAACATGGCGCCCAATCAACCTGAAACACACGTTCAAAAACACAATCAGAATCCAATTATATATATATATCCTTTATCTAACCAGGTAAAAGTCTCATTGAGATTAAAATCTATTTTTCAGCGACCTGGCCAAGAGGGCAGCATTTCCTTTCATTTGTATTTGTTCTGTTCATGGTATGCACAACTTAATGTTTAACAATTATTTACCAAACATGTCTCTATAAACACACGGTACCCGAAAAGGAGCAGTGAGAAGAAATTAATCTTAAAAAATATAAATAGATGGTCTGTCCTTCATATTTTCTTATTCTCAGCCAATCATAACAGTATTGTAGGAAAATAAGAAAACACAAAAACGTACAAAAAAAACAAAACTTAGTTCCCAGAAACAAACCAATAAAACAACAACAAACACCACATGTACAAGGAAGAGTGCAACATCTGAGTCCTACTGGAGAACAAAGTTACAACAAATGAACAAAAAACAATAGAGGCAGACAAATACAGCTGTAAAACACAAATGAAATGGCACATTAGCCAGTCAATATGCAAAATAAAAGAAACTATTATTAATCATTAAAAGCTGGCACAATTTAAAACAACTTCAAATATGGGATATGAGAGCAATCACATCGACCAATGGATTCTTGTTCTCTGTCTCTTTAAAGGTCCCCTATTATCCTCATCTTAATCAATATATCACAGGTCTCAGATATATCCAGAGCCTGTCTCTGATTGGCTGACAGATCATTGCAGCATCCCATAATCCCCTCTGTTTCAGCCCTGTTTCCAAAGTGCTGATTCTCTGTCTGTTACTTCAGATGAAAATAAGGAGCCCCTCCCCACGCCCCTCTGAGAGAGATTTGGTTAAAAAGAACTCAATGGTGCTCTAGGAGGAGATTCAGGTGATAAGGGGGGGGGGGGGGGGGGGTTACCTTGGTTGCTGATTGGCTAATGGTTACACAAGCCAAAACATCGTTATGACATCATCAAGTGGCCAAAATCTGATCAGCTCATTTTCAGACAGGTTTTTATAAAAATTGATCAAAAAGAGAGAGAATCTTTGTTCCTGAGACTTTCAGAGTCTCTTTACACAGAGGGGACACATGTTGATGAAGAAGAGACATGAAGAAGAGGGGACACATGTTGATGAAGAAGAGACATGAAGAAGAGGGGACACATGTTGATGTAGAAGAGACATGAAGAAGAGGGGACACATGTTGATGTAGAAGAGACATGAAGAAGAGGGGACACATGTTGATGTAGAAGAGACATGAAGAAGAGGGGACACATGTTGATGTAGAAGAGACATGAAGAAGAGGGGACACATGTTGATGTAGAAGAGACATGAAGAAGAGGGGACACATGTTGATGGAGAAGAGACATGAAGAAGAGGGGACACATGTTGATGTAGAAGAGACATGAAGAAGAGGGGACACATGTTGATGTAGAAGAGACATGAAGAAGAGGGGACACATGTTGATATAGAAGAGACATGAAGAAGAGGGGACACATGTTGATGAAGAAGAGACATGAAGGAGAGGGGACACATGTTGATGTAGAAGAGACATGAAGAAGAGGGGACACATGTTGATGTAGAAGAGACATGAAGAAGAGGGGACACATGTTGATGAAGAAGAGACATGAAGAAGAGGGGACACATGTTGATGTAGAAGAGACATGAAGAAGAGGGGACACATGTTGATGTAGAAGAGACATGAAGAAGAGGGGACACATGTTGATGAAGAAGAGACATGAAGGAGAGGGGACACATGTTGATGTAGAAGAGACATGAAGAAGAGGGGACACATGTTGATGTAGAAGAGACATGAAGAAGAGGGGACACATGTTGATGAAGAAGAGACATGAAGAAGAGGGGACACATGTTGATGTAGAAGAGACATGAAGAAGAGGGGACACATGTTGATGTAGAAGAGACGTGAAGAAGAGGGGACACATGTTGATGTAGAAGAGACATGAAGAAGAGGGGACTCATGTTGATGAAGAAGAGACATGAAGAAGAGGGGACACATGTTGATGTAGAAGAGACGTGAAGAAGAGGGGACACATGTTGATGTAGAAGAGACATGAAGAAGAGGGGACTCATGTTGATGAAGAAGAGACATGAAGAAGAGGGGACACATGTTGATGTAGAAGAGACATGAAGAAGAGGGGACACATGTTGATGTAGAAGAGACATGAAGAAGAGGGGACACATGTTGATGAAGAAGAGACATGAAGAAGAGGGGACACATGTTGATGTAGAAGAGACATGAAGAAGAGGGGACACATGTTGATGAAGAAGAGACATGAAGAAGAGGGGACACATGTTGATGTAGAAGAGACGTGAAGAAGAGGGGACACATGTTGATGTAGAAGAGACATGAAGAAGAGGGGACTCATGTTGATGTAGAAGAGACATGAAGAAGAGGGGACACATGTTGATGTAGAAGAGACATGAAGAAGAGGGGACACATGTTGATGTAGAAGAGACATGAAGAAGAGGGGACACATGTTGATGTAGAAGAGACATGAAGAAGAGGGGACACATGTTGATGAAGAAGAGACATGAAGAAGAGGGGACACATGTTGATGTAGAAGAGACATGAAGAAGAGGGGACACATGTTGATGTAGAAGAGACATGAAGAAGAGGGGACACATGTTGATGTGGAAGAGACATGAAGAAGAGGGGACACATGTTG